CACACCATGTTTCTGTGATGGCATGGCAACTATATTATAGTTTTCACAATGGCTTCCAGCTCCTCCTGCTTGTTGCCCATCCCACCGTCTTTTTGGGGGGAGAAACCCTAATTCCTACATGACCATTCTCAGGTGCTTCCATGGTTTCTAACACATCCATAACCCTTGCGTCTTTGCTGCTGCATGGATCTCCATGTCATTAGAGAATATCTGAGTAGAAATTGGTGCTACACAATCTGAAGAGGGAAAAAAATAGCTGTAATTCAGAAAAGAGAGACTACTGTTTTACAGTTAACTGTCTAGTGACCAAAGGTAGAAGAAAAAATAACCAGCCTATAACAAATCAGTTGCAGAATATTAGTATCTGATCCTGACTATTCAGTTTAAACTGTATCACTCTATTTAATAATATAGCTAACACTTCTAAAGTGGCATACAGTTCATTTATTAATTCCACAAGCAATTCAGGGACATAACAGTACTTTCCTCTCTGAAACTTCGAGTGTTCATCAATTCTTTCTTGCTTCCTCCTGTCCTTGTAAATCATAAAGGAAGTTTAGAGGCAGTCTAGTATTCTGTACCATTTTATCTTAATAGGAGGGAAATGAGGGAAGGAGAATCCGAAAAAACAATGGGAATGCGGCTGCAATTGTTTGACAGAACACCCCACCCCCCAGACCTTATGATGCAGTTGAAAAGAACCTAGGCCCTACATTACATCAAGTAATCTCTCTCAAACTTTGATAGTTAACAACATTACTACTTGTATTTGTTTCAAACAAATGGAGAGAGTGGATAAAAAGTGTTCTTACCCAATTCATAGAGATGACCACCTACGTTAACTAATGCAATAAAGTGAAGATCTACTTTTTCATCTATACTTGGTGCCTGCAAGACAAAACAAAACAAAAAGAAATTGTGTTCACTAAAGCTCTTATCACAATATGATTAATGAGAACATATCATCATAATATGCAAAACACCTGGCCAACAGAAATCACAAGTGAGAAGCACATTCTGGATCTATACAGAATGGCAGAAGTCACACTGCAGAACATTTCGGAACATAAAGCAGCTTTCTGCAATGCACAAATCAGTAAGAATCCTTTCAGTAAAGTATCTGGAAGTATTTCCAATTACAGCTTTACATAAAAGGTTTATTTTTCATTACTGAATTAGAAGTAGTATCAGCTCAAATACATTAACATTAAAAATAGATATTCATATAAATAGCAACTCCTTCACTAACCCATCTCCCATAACAAAGTGACACAGGGCTGAACTCTGAACCTGTAGTATTTTAAAACTGAAAATATTCACTTGGTCAAAATAATTTTTTCCTCGTAAGCCATGTATAGTACAGTTAACCTGTTCCCTCTTCACAGGCAGTCGAAAGAAACAGTTCACACATCTTAGGTGGGGAGGAAGGAAAACAACCAGAGGTGCCTAGACTGAAATTTCAACGTGGCATTATACCAAGAAAGGACTGAAGTGCAGTGACAGCATCAAGTGACATGACATAAAAAATGGTTACAGTTGGTAAAGATCTATCTAGCCCAGTACTGTGTTGCCAACTAGAGCAACCAAAAGCTTTTTCAGAAGAAAACAGGGCATGCACAGCACGGTACTCTGCCAGCTCACATTCCCAGCATGCATTAAACAGTGGTTTTTGAACTTGTGAGCCAAAAGGTGCATCACCACTGTTGTGTTCAACAGCAACTGATGGTCTTATTTCCTCATCAATCTGTCCAGTCCACATCTGAGCCTTGGTCCACAATTTAAGAAGGTACTGTTTGAGGGAATGGGAAACAGCACCTCAGGTTTTCTTAAATTATCAAGAAAATCTTGAGCATGCCATTTTCTTCCATCTTGTAATTACTGTTAGCCTTATATGAATTTCTTGAAGCACCCCAAAAATCTAAGAATTTGCCAGAAACAGATTAGAGCGTAAAATGAGTTGTAGAACCTTCCAGTCGCATCACGTTTTCAAGACTGGAAGTTTCCTTCTTCCTGATGGTCACGAAAAAAGACTTTAAAAGATGATCTAAATTGAAAACATGTAGCAAACAACCAGAACAATAAAGCAAAGGACAAGAAGTCACCGTAAGTCCTTCAATACATCAAGAACGCCAAAGAACACAGCATTACAGAGGAACTGCCAACAGCTTACAGAAATTCTATGTAGCAAGCTCAAAAACGAGGGAAAAAAACAAAACAAAAAAACCACATAACCTCCCCTCACCCTCATTTGAGATTAATCTCCATGACCAGTTAAAGTGTGAAAGGCATAAATACCCTGTTTCATCTCTGTTTCAGAGGGCCTAGAATGGAGAAAGAGCATTCCTGCTGCTGAAGATGAGGCAGCTATCAAAGGAACGAGAGGACCTTTCCACCAGATCTCCAAGGAGTCTTTTTCCCCTATCGCATAAGTGAATTGCTGTTGAGAATTTTGCTTTACAGAAGGCCAAACAGAGACAGGGCTTAGAAAAAAAAACAAGCAAAACAAGCAGCCTCTAGAGTTTGGCTACCCAGTTGTAAACTTCCAAGGGCCACAGGTTTCCGTAACTTCCTGAAAACGGCACAAGACAGTAGCTGACAACCAATGGGAATAACAACAAGGTGCCATCAATCAACCAACAGTTGAGAGGCATCTAAACCACGGTGCTATAAAAGCGTGCAGGCAGGCAAAGCTGAGTCCTTGCCAAATCCCACATTGCCACCTAATCCCCGTGTAGAGACATGACTTCATGGCTGTTCACTTACCAGTTAAACCTACCAACTAGGAAATCTGGCCTTAAGGAATTTCAGAGTTAGGAGAAAGACTACTGCCAGTTAGTCTCACTTTATGAAGGAAATGGCTTAGCATTTAACAGCTTGCATCTGAACATATGCTACCTGGGCTCAAATTGACATTAACTAGAAGAGCTCGAAGTATCACTATTGTTTCAGAGTACTTTGAGATGTTCAGGATTTGGTTTTGATCACATTTAGAACAAAATACAGTTGTCCCTTTGACCGTTTTAAGGGTTGTGTTCTTTGCCAGCTTCTAATAAACACCTTTTCTGTAGAAGGACACTTGGCATGCTTGGAATGCCGAGCCTATATACAGCTAGAAGATAGAGAAAAGAGGAAGGGGGGGCACAAAAAAAAAAAAAAAAAAAAAAAAAAAAAGCATGATTAACTTTTCATAGAGTTTACTTGAAGACAGTGATGCTCCTATAGAATCCTGCTGAATTTTTGTACATGCCTAATCTAAATAACGTGCTTCCATTAAGTGCTACTGCCACAACCCGTGAGGAATGTTGTTTTTACATTTTTAATTCCCCAACCTCATAGAAAGAATGAAAGTGCCATGCCATTATTAAAGTTTCTACCACATGTTCTAACGTAGACAGCCTCCTTCCTTTGTGATTTCTTTTCATCTAATGGAGATAGTAGTAAATTTACTACCAAGTAGATCTATTACATTTCTTCAAAAATTAGGATTTCAATAATTTTTGACAGGCAATTATTTGCATAATCATAAGCACAGAGAAACAATAGGGTCTGAATAGTCAAAATAACCTAACACTTTGTATTATAAAAAACTGTTGCTTATGACTTAGGCAAACAAGTAACGGGATTAAACTTTCCCAATGTGATGAATCTGATCCAAAATGGCCCCGCCCCTCCTTAGGTACAAAAAAAGATATCCATTGCGTATGTGTGCATGCACACGTGCACACAGACACACACACGAAAAGAAGCCTAGTCAGGCCAATTTCTACTTCACTGGGAAGCTCTAGAAATTCTAACACTTGAACCACAAGATTTTAAATTTCAAAGGAATGGAAAGAAGAGGGAACGTCAGCTTAAGGGAGATGTCTTTTGTGGTCCCCTTGAAAAGCTACACCTTTGGCCAAATTTTCAGCTTTTAATGAACGGTCTGTGTGAATGCTTACAAGAACAAGAGAACCTAGTTCTAAGGAGGCTGCCTGCATGTTCATCACTAGGTAGTGTTTTCAGAGCAATTACAGAGGATTTTCTCTTGATTAGTCTTCTTGTCAAAGACCACTGTAACATCAACATCAGTCAAAAGTGTTGGGATGACCTGTTCCTTTGATTTTTTTTTTCTCTTAGGAGCCCACTCAATGTGCAAAAGGAGACAGCAGTTTTGAATGACCACATGTATGAACCACAAGGAAGGAGAAAGACAGAGGAGTCTAAACGAGATGATTGTCTAACCAGGATTTGGAACTAACCTCTGGGATTCAAGACTCATTTTCCAAGTCTTCCAAAGAGCTGCAGCACTCAGTGAAAGAAAATTTATATTTCTTTCCTATCCGGAAAAGACAGAAAGAGGACAAATACCAGTATCTTGGGTCGCTTACAGAAGGCTATGCTATGGTTTCAACCTTAGTATAAGAAATAAGTTTTGGTAGCATGGGTTAGTGGACATCACTTTTCCAATTTCTCTCTTCAAAAGAAAAAAAACCCTGAAAAATAGTGACCAGTAGACTTGAAACTGATTTGAAGAGGAAAAATGCAAGAAGTTTAGCACTCAAAGTGATGGTTCTGAGAACACCTTCTCAGCTGTAATTTGTTCTCAAGGTATTGAGATAATGCTCAATGATAATATGGTGTATCTTCATGAATACCCAGTCTCGTATACAAAAGTGACAGCCAAGGTTGTCAAGCCCTCTAATCTTGGTTACCACATTAAAAGCACCTAGATAGAATCATAGAATCATTTAGGTTGGAAAAGACCTTTAAGATCATCGAGTCCCAATTTTTCAGAGGATTTGACTGCCTTCTCTTGCTAACCTGGACATTCAAATTAAGTAATAAATAATTACTGACTGCTGTGAGAAATCAATTTTAATTGACTTCTCTCAGACCAATACCCATTAGTTCATGTTATCGAAACAGCACTTCTACGTTTCTTCTTCTATTCTTCACTAGCAGATTTCCAATCAGTAATTTTTTAAAATAGCACTTCCCAAAGTTTTTACTGTACAAATGGCAACCCTTTCTACTCCCTCTTGTTGTACTGAGAAACTCCTTGATTTTACCTTTCACCACTGCATGCTGCCTTCTCCTCATGAACTACAACAGTCGTCTTTCTTGTTGTTGCACTAACATTTAAAAACTCAATGGTACACCTCTATATCACTGTTTGCCCAATCATACCAGCTGGTCTAATAAAGTATATTTCATCACCTACACAGTTTATCTTGCTAATGCGCTTAGGCCATTATCCCAATGTAAAAGTCAGTATTCAGTTTTCATGCATTTGAATTCTTTTGATCTTCAAATAAGTCAGTATTCAGTTTTCATGCATTTGAAATCTTTTGATCTTCAAATCAAAAGTTGCTAACTTAGAACAAAACTGTTCAACAAATTTGATGTGTAACTGTTTTTTTTTCCCCAAAACAGCATCTCTGGGACAAACACACAATTGGGAAAAAAAATTTTTTTTGTCTTGTTCTCATGGACATACTGAACAAGTCCTTACCTCCATCCTGCTTAAAATTTATTTATGAAAGACCACATTATAAAAACAGGTTCGATGTTACATGACAGATTTCCAGCAACTTCTTCCAACTAAATCTTGTATTTTTATTATTCCCTTACGCTTTCTCTTGAGAGAATGGAGTGAAGCAAGAAGTCTCACAAACCAGTTTAGTAGAATGCTTTGCATTACAGGTAGTGACTGGGAAAGAAAAAAACACCACTTGTGTTAAGTCAAAAAATTGGCATCAAGAGTCTGTCAGGTTCTGGAAGAAGAGTGGTAAAGACTCATAAGGAAAAGACAACTTTGCAGAACCTTGAGGAATAAAAAGTTTCAGATGCATCCAATTGAAAGATCATGACAAAAGTAACTGAAGTCTAAGAGAAGAAAAAACCTT